TCAGGGTTCAGGGTTTAAGGGGTTGAGGGTTTAAGGGGTTTAGGGATTAAGGTTTAGGATTTAAGGCGTAGGGATTAAGGTGTGGGTTTAAGGGGTTAAGGGTTTAAGGTGTAGGGTTTAGGGATTAGGGATTAAGGCGATTTTCCTACGGTTCACGGCTGTACCCATGGAGGAAATTTTAGGCTGATATAGCTACTGGAATTAACTGGGATAATGGAACAGAAAAATGGAAACTACTATTTATGGTTCAGGGATCAGGATTAGCGTTTAAGGTTCAGGGTTTAGGGATTGGGGGGTCATCGGGGCTGAGGATACAGGGTTAGCAGGGCATGAAGGAACGGAACATGAAATGGCAACCACTACATTCTTGGGGGGTGATTACATGGGGACTAGTATAAGCACGTCGCAACTGTTTTCTTGCAACGGTATAATTTGCCCACAAGTTCCCAAAAGGGACATGCAAACGTAACACCTGCAGCATACAGGGGCCATGGGCAATGTGGTCTTTCAAGCCCTAAACCCTCTGTGTTAATAGCTATTATTTACCAAGTCTTAAGTTTTTGCGTGTAGGATAGGGTCTAGGAATTCAGTGTAGACATCAGACTGTATCTAAAGTTGGGTTCAGGGATGAGGACTTAAGGCCTGGGGCTCGTGTCTTAAGGTTTCGGGTCTGAAGCTCCGGAGGTGGGTTTTCTGAGGCAGTCAGTTGCGGGAGGACCTTTATGACATAGTTCTAGTTGGCCTTGACGGCTTGACAAACATGGAATCGACAATGCCCCTACTGTGCTCCAACGAATATAATGACTATGTGGGATCCCCTCTTAAAGTTCCATGCTTCTGTGAGGGAAGAGTGGGATTTTAAGTGTCCAGACGCCCTACACCCTGGAACTTAGGGGTCTGGGGTGGCGGTTCTGGGGTCAGGGAGTTGGTTCTGGTCCTTGGGCTTAGCTGGTCTTTTCGCAACTTTCAGCTTCTGGGTGGCAGCGACTTCGAGTCGTCAACCAAAGCAAAGCTATTTCAGAAGTGACCCCGACCTCCTTCTTGAATATTCTGAATGCAACTGTCAATCCTAAACTCAACACCTGAACCCCTGAACCTCCGAATGCAATGTACACCCCCAACCCAAAACCTCATCCTGAGACCCCTAAAGCCCATGAGGGAACACCAGCATGCCTCCATGCCCACGTTTAAAACCGACGTAGGTCGTGTCCTGCGTTTGGAACACTCGGAGTTGGATACCATGTCCCCATAGTAGCCCTACAGTAAGAAGGTATACTGGTACCATGTTCTATCATGCTGTCTGGAGTCTATCAGGACGCCCCAACTACCCTTGAAAAAGGGCCTACTCAGTTTCTTATGGGTGTGGAGTAACGCTATATTGGAGAATAATTAGAGGGTCTAGGTGATGTTCATGGGCTAGGCCCATGATGAGTGACACATGCTCCCACGACCAGCGAGGGGATGATCGACTTTTCTTCCTCGAGTAGAAATCTATTGCAGTCGCATAGGCTCTGGACGCGTATTTGGCCACTACGAATCATACCTCGTCTTCGATTTCTAAATTGCACTTGATCCTTATTGTCTATCGTTAAAGGGTGTGGTTCACTATTCGCGGCAGGTGGTTATGCCGTGACGAGTGCTACAAGTATGAGGTCCGTGCAGGCTTCTGCTTTTCGACCGTATTCTTAACAACTTACTCAGTGCTCCCATGCTAAACCTTACCTACTAAAACCTAACCCCTGAACCCTGAAAACGCAAGCTTCAACGATAGATCAGCAACAGCAGAGTCTGCCGTTGTTCGAATACCCCCCCCCCCAAATTAGCAAACTAGCATGGAGCTCTTTTCGGGGGATGATGGAGGGGTTGTAGAGCAATGTCAAGACGTTTCTTGGATAGTCTCTTCCAAATTGACATTGGAAACCAAAATAGCACATGTTTCAGCGGCCTATGATCTTTTCACGGCTCTTTGTCAGCTTCCCTGTTAGATGGGGCAAGGGTCCCGGGTACATCACATGCAACGGCATGGCATGTTGAGATGTAGGCATGTCTCCAAACCATCGATCTTTCTCAGAACAAGAAAGACATAGCAATTGAGCATCAGCTTAATGCAAAACCCTTAATAACCGCTGTTCCTCTACCCCAATACCTGCATTGTACATCCCTACATTCCGAGCCCTTGACCGACTATCCCTCGACTGAACAACTGTTCAACGTGCGACATCCCTGATCCCTGAACCCTTCCTAGAATGACCTATGCACTTATAAAGAAGTTTTAAGACGCGGGTAGTAACTCACAGTTTAATACTTAATTTTCCTTTCTTCAACGGTCTAAGGCTACCCAGAGGGCCTAGTACTCCTTCGTGAAAGAATATCCCCAGAATGATACTAGGAAGCCGAATATGATCTTCAGGTATACTCCTTAATTGGGTAGTATTGGGCTTCCTGGGTTCTTAGACGCCAGCCTTGTTATAAAGCGTAAACCTTTTATACTATATCCCAAGACCAGGGCGAAGGCAACTTACATTCTTAACAATGCTAAAGCCACAAACGCTTGTATAATCACAGCTTTTGCTTTTTTAGCCATTTTCTTTTCCAATGCTAAGTCAAGGAATCTTGGACTCCCTGGGTATTCTAGGTAGAGCCACGCTGAAGCCCACATAAACCCTAAGCCCGAAACCCTAGGAACCGGATCCGGCAGCAGTGGCCTTGCGATCCACGAAGTCTTGCACGCCGAGAGCGATCACCATGCGCTGGCCCTTCAGGGAAATCCCTAGGACCTCGGCTGCCACCAGGATCTGCTGGCACATTGAATGCACGCTGAAGCATATCCTGGATACTTGTGCCATTTTGAGGCTTGGGGTCGTCAAACCCTTGACTGTGCCAAGTTGTTGCACGCAGCCACGAAACAAGACCCCAGGACAAGCTTCTCATCTCCAGATCAGTTCGTTTCTCAAAATAGGACCCTGAGCACCTGTGGTGTTTAGGTTATTTCGCGTTGAGGCTTTCTCGCAATTGGGGGCCCTTGTGTAAGGTGACGAGGGGCTGCATATTCAGGATTCTCATTGAGAATTGGAGGTACTTTCCCTAAAGCCTAGGCCCAGGAACCACTGGCAATACACTGTAAATGGGGCCTGTACGCTAAATGGTACGAGCCCCCCTGACATGTTTAACAGGTCCAGGGTTCAGAGGATCAGATGTTTAGGATTCAGATTTTTTCCTTAGTTAACCGGTACTGGGCTTCTGGGCATACAAACCACCAGCTGGGGTGCAAGGGGTGAGCTCGCTATATTTTGGCATAAGGCTCACGGGCTTAGCGAACATCCAAAACTGCAAGACCCGACGGGCGTCCGTCAAGCAGACCCCAAACTAAACAAAACCGAGCAAACCTGCAACAACCAAAGCCACAACAAGGAAAGCACGCGTCCTGAAATAATAGATCTCCAAAACCCAAACTCTCAAGCGTACACCGCAATTCCCAAGCCTCAACCCTAATCCTGAAGCCCTGACACCCCATCCACAAACCACCTCAAAACCCTGGGAGCCGCACTGTGGACAGATGTTCGAGACTTCTGGCGAGCCTCAGTTGCTGGTAGAACAAGCCAAATACTCACTTTGGGCCCTATAAAGTCTACAAGCAATGCCTGTTTTGGGCGCTTTGGCTGCCTAGGGTGAAGGATATTTTGTAACTATGACTCCCGTTTGCGTTTCTTTCTGGCGGCTCAGGGGAGATCCCAACTTCTCAGCCCTTGACGAGAAGTTGCTAAGGTAGCAGAACTAAGCCAAAGGCACCCGAATGAAGTGAAGATGAGCCACGCCTACAATGCGAATCCAAATAGATGCAACCATACCATGTGCTTTCTTCGCCAAAAGCCAAGGTCCCAGGCACGAATTCCCAAAATCATGCTTCAGAAGCCCTACCTTAAGCTCCAAGCCCCAAATCCTGAGACCCTGATTCCCAGCGTGATACTCTTGACGCTAAGTTCCTGCATGACCTTCGTATACTAGATGGCCTAATGCTCAAGGTATCTGGTACTTCGGGTCATGCAGTAGCTCTGGCCTAGCTGCCGAGTTTCCTGTCCCACACAACTGCCTAGGTAATTCTACTTGGGGTATTTCTGGTTACAGGCTATCCGCAGAGCCAGTAAGTAAATCACCAAATCTGCTTTCTACGAAGCCCACTTGATATAACTATATGCAACAGAGTGCCTCTGGTTTCAGCTTAAGACTCCATTCCCCCAAACCTTCCCCTCACCCTTTAAAACCAATAAGTGGAAGCCTCGACCATACTGTTGATACTAACAATCCAGCATGACCTCATTATGCTATTCTACCTCAATGCATGACCTCATTATACTATTCTACCGCAATTCGCAAGGTATAAGGTGCAAATTGCATGGCAACTTGTACATCATTCCGCAGTCATCGAGCTTGGAGCCCCCCTAGGCTGTAGGAAAAGACCGAAGCGTCATCGATCAATCTTCATGGTAGCAGGCGAGCCTGGTTGCTGCTGTGTTTTGAGGGACAGGCCATCGCCCGTCCTGGTGTGAACACGATTCTTTCGAGCCCGTGGTGTAGTCGTGCTAGCTTAGCAGCAAACACGACAGCATGGAGGTGACCATCAAAAGGTCGTCGGATGGAGTGCCCCAATTTGCAGGGGAACCAGAACTTCTTCCCATGTACAGGGAGGAAGCCCTTCAGTACATGATGACGCTAGAAGTGAAGAAACGCTGCTTGGCAGGTCCTCGCTTGGCAAAGGAGCTGACAGGAGTGGCCAAGGTGGCGATCCGCAACAGAACGACGCAAGACCCTCAGTGGCTGGCACATCCTAGGGGGGCATACACGCTGCTGGAGTTCTTGGAGTCGTTCCTGGCAAAGCCTACTTTAGTAGAAGCCTCACGTTTCATCATGAAATTCTTCTACAACCTTAGACGCAAGAAAGCGAAACGATGACAGAATGGGTAGCCAGACATGCGGAGGCGTTGTGGGAAGCATCCCAAGCCATGCGAAAAGTGCAGAAGGAGTACGGTGGGAAACCGTCAGCAAGCGGCCTCAGTCACGGTCCACCAGTTCGCCAGTGGTGGTCTCGGACAACAAATTCTGTGCCTTCAGGTCGGACTTCCGGAAGGACTTCGGAGATTGGCCAGGAGACTGGCCACGAAGAAGGTGGAGATGGAACAGATGATCCCGAGACAACAGAAGATGCAGATGGAGAAGAAGAAGCTGGGCAAGACGAGGTGTGGAACAGCTGGCGCCGAAATTCCTGGTCTGGGTGGTCGGGCTGGTCAGGTGGATACTGGTCGGCATGGTCTGACTGGCCAGATTCCTGGAAAAGTCAAGACTACGAGCCGCCGGACTCATGGGATAAGAGAGCTGAGCCATTCCTGCCAGAGTTTCTTGCAGGTTTTCTTCTTCTCAATCGTGCAGGCCTGGATGCCCATGAGAGGGCAAACATCCTGGCCGCGATCCGGGGCGAGTTCAGCACCACAACTGTTGGACGAGCACTCCGTGAACAGTGGTCAGATGATGACTTGGCACGCAGGGACAAGGCAAAGATGGGAACGTCTTACTATGTCTCTGAGGACTATGATTTTGAAGCGCTTGCTGCCGAGGATTCCTTCCAAGACCTTGACGGCTTCGATGAGGAGACGAAAGAGGCCTACATGCTCGAGCAGGAACGTGTGGAAGACGCTCTTGCGGTGATCAACGCTCAGAAGGCCACCCTTCGTGAAGCTCGATGGCGACAAAAGGAGATCAAGCTCGGTAGACAGTTCTACCCCAAAGGCGGCAAAGGTGGGTCCAGCTCGAAGGGAGGTTCGGGCAAGGGCACCATCCAGTGCTTCCGATGTGGGGGTAACCACCGAGTTGCTGAGTGCCCCCAAAGGGAGAAGAACCAACAAGCCAATTTTGCTGAGGCCACCGAGTTCGCCTTCTCAGCCGACGATGTTGAGGAGGTAGCCTTCCATGCTCCTGAGCAAGGCCACGACAACTACAACCTGGTAGAGCACACCATGGGAGTGATCGATTGTGGGGCAACATCCTCGCTAGGGTCGATTGAGGCTCTGGAGGCCGTGGCAGAGAAGAACCTTCGAGATCTCGGTGACAGCAAAATCCTAGTGGACACCCAGCGGAAGCCAGTGTTCCGATTCGGCAACGGCCAACGGAAGACTTGTCTCTCTACGGCTAAGGTGGGAATGATGCTGGGACCGCGTCAGGGAAGCCTTGAAGTACATGTTCATGACAGCCCAGGTCAGTCGAGAGTGGTGTCCCTTCAGGAGGCACCGAATGGACACCTGTTGATGCCCATGACGGGGGACTTGCTGGCAGGTGCTGAGGTGAGGGGCGTGCCCTTTAACGGTCTGCTAGGGGAGTAGGGACAACACTCCCCAAAGAGGAGCCGCTGGGGAGACCCAAAGTAGACGCTATGAATGCCGAGCATTCACCACAGGGTTTAGCCGCATGTGAGCAGTGTAGTCTGATTGCAGTGCGGCATGGTCGGTGTAGTTTTTGTAGAGAGCATGTCGGAATGCGCCCAGTCATGTGTGATGATGGTTGTGATTGCATGTTTGGGAGTAAGAACTGTGATTCTAACATCCACCTTTCCCACGCTCAACCTCAACATCACCACAATACCATTCACACCTTACACGCTTGTGCCGGTCAGCCTGCAGCCCAGAGCACAAGCGTCCTCCCGGAGTCCTCCCACAAGCCTTACCTGTGCCGTGCGTCCATCATGCCCTCCACGAAGAA